ACAAATAGGCTAAAAAAAAGCTAAAAGCTAAACAATAGAGGTACATGAGAAAATTTGTTCATAATGAACGAAAATAAATAATTAAATTGTTTGTGTCTGTGTCAGTCTCAAACCCTGGTCTGTGTCCATGTCAGTCTCGTACCCTGGTCTCCAACTCTCTGGTCCAACACTCTACCCATTGCCTTATTGGAAGGCTTGTTATAAAATGAGCTGTGCATTGCACAACAACAACCGTGACAGCTTTTTATACTGAGGAGGTGGGGCCTCACCCGGGGGTTGCTAGGTAAGGGGCTGAACACAGGATGTGGTGGGTTGTCGTACGGCTTGTGACATCACAAAATGTAGGAAGTATAAAACTTGTCATTTATATACATTAAAATACATTTACTTACTGTAAATATGCCCCTGGGTGCATTTTTTTGGTCCTATGACTGTTTTCTTAAGAAGTACATACCAAAGTTGAGTAAAAAAATCTTTAAAAGTGAATTTTGCATAATAGGTCTCCTTTAAGTTTCTGCATTTAAGCCATCACACATGTGAACACATGCAACATGCAGACCAACCTGCAGTCGAACAAGCCACCTTCCGATCACAAGCTTGGCTTCTCTACTCTCTGTGCCACTCCCCTAGTTTGTCATTTCTGAGTTCAAATGTTCAACCAAAAACTTAGACAGTCAACCAAAGACTTAGAAAGTCAACCAAAATCTTAGACAGTCAACCAAAGACTTGGAAAGTCAACCAAAATCTTAGACAGTCAACCAAAGACTTAGACAGTCAACCAAAGACTTGGAAAGTCAACCAAAATCTTAGACAGTCAACCAAAGACTTAGAAAGTCAACCAAAATCTTAAACAGTCAACCAAAATCTTAGACAGTCAAAGACTTAGAAAGTCAACCAAAATCTTAGACAGTCAACCAAAGACTTAGACNCACTTGGGCCCTTCACCCCTCAGCTGCTCCCTGGGAGCTGTAACTGGCAGTCTGGCACTGCTCCACGTGTATTAAGTTTGTTTTTTTGATTGAATTTATTTTTTGTTTGGTTGAAAATTGTTTTGATTAAAATTATTATTTTTTGATTGAAGATGCTTTTTGTTTGATTGAATAATAAAAACACAAATTTACTTCCATAAGAAACAATCTTACGGTGCGATCCCGCTGGTGGTCTCTGGGGTCTGCCTCCATTTAAAGAGCTCCTACCTCCTCTAACAAAGTGCTAAAAATCAATAAATGTTTCCCATGAGTCACGATGCTTTCATTAGCTGCGTTTAAAGCTGGTTAGCTTTAAACCAGAGGGTGACGTCGACTTTATCAGAAACTGTTTCACTCATCCGGCTGCTGATCCAAATCATTACAAACCAACATAAAACTTCAATTAAATCTGTATTTTTATTTTAGGAAGATAAGACCAACCAGCTCGAATCATTCCCTTATATCAACTAAAACAAACTTTTTTTATTATTATTAATAATGCCACTTAATATCTAATTACCAAGTGAAAATAAGCAGTACTTGTGTTTTATTAGCCTCGTTGAGACTCACTTCTCAGGTTCAATTCTATATCATGATAGAGTAACTATGTCAGCTTCAGTTGTTATTAAAATGCTGTTTATACGTTTAAATAAAAAATAAACTTGTCTTCGCATCACAGCTGTTCCTAAACACCTTGAAATTGGCCTCTGTCTCTTTAAGAACCTCCTTCCTTCTGCTCATCATCACAACAGCTTCATGCTGTTTACAACCTGGAACGCCGTAGTTGTTGTAATAATAATAAAATAAAGCAACATTTTACAATATCTGTTTTGGAAAATAGTATCAGCATAAAACTGAACCTTACCATCGGACCGAAAAGTAGGTTTCCTGTAGAACTGGAGCAATTATTTTTATTGACTAATAGTAAAACATATTAACGTTTTATACTTTTTTTCAAAGCAGCATGTTTTGATAGATTATGACAGTTATATTGTTTACATCCCAAACAGTAAAATGTCAACAGATGTAGCTTTTTATCAAATCAAATCAAATCATCGCTGCTTTAAATTAAACTACAGTCACCTTAACGTGAGCGCTGAGTCATGCTAATATGTTCATTTTAGAGCAGTTTTCCTTTAAAAGATGTAGCCTGGAGCGTCTCAGAGAAAACACACACACACACACACACACACACACACACACACACACACACACACACACACACACACACACACACACACACACGGCTGTGCAGACAAAGACATTACCCTGCGTGGAAAAGTACAGTGAAATCTGGGCTTCTTCTTGATGATGACCAGAAGAGAAACAAGCACTAATCAGCTGAAGTAAACAGGAAGTAGAATTCCCTCACCCAGAACTTGATCAGGTAGAAAGCGTTCTGCGGTCCTTTGCTGAAGAGCTCTTTCAGGCCGCCCTTCTTCTCTGGGAACTTGTCATAAATTTGCCGGATGTCCACACACTCCAGCAGTGGGTCGCTGTAGCTCGGGCTGCTCTGGTTGATGTGCACGAACAGGTGTTTGTTGTACTGAGAGAAGACAAGAAAACATCAGCTGAAATGAGTTGAAACAGCTGGAACACCTGGCTAAACACCTAGCTAAACACCTGGTTAAACACCTAGCTAAACAACTAGCCAAATACCTGGCTAAACACCTAGCTAAACACCTGGCTAAACACCTGGCTAAACACTTGATTAAACACCTAGCTAAACACCTGGCTAAACACCTGGTTAAACACCTAGCTAAACAACTAGCCAAATACCTGGCTAAACACCTGGCTAACCACCTAGCTAAACACCTGGCTGAACACATAGCTAACCACCTGGCTAAACACCTAGCTAAACACCTGGCTAACCACCTAGCTAAACACCTGGATAACTGCCTACCTAAAAGCCTGGCTAACCGCCTGGCTAAACACTTAGCTAAGCACCTGGCTAAACACCTGGCTAAACACTTAGCTAAGCACCTGGCTAAACACCTGGCTACAAATTTGAAAGACAATGAAAAGAAAATATAATTTGTGTGTTTTGTATTTCTGGAAAATACACAAATCTTATAAAAACAGACCCAGTTTCTCATTCAAAGGTGTTGCTACAAAAACACTGAACGCTCCAAATCAGCACCAACCTGTAGCACGAAACACTAAATGTAGAATCTGTAATTCTCCTTAATGCAGTAAATGTTGCAGCTCAAAGTTTTAGTATTTTGTTTCCTCCTGATATTCAATTTTTTCATGATTCATTATTTAACTACAAACCCAACACTAGTGATTCGTTCATATCCTGTAATTATTGAGGCAAGCTGTTGATCAGGACAATCAGCCTCTGACGGGAAGCAGAGTAGCTGCTGGTGTTTTCACATCACGCTCTTTTTTTTTAGCTTATTTTCAGTTTCCAGAAAAAGGATGAATGATTTATTTTATTTCATTATAACACTGACAGAAAAAAACTGTTTCAGTCTTTTTAGAAACACAAAAGCTTTACAACTGGATCTGCTTTTGTGATTCCAACCAACAGATCTAAATTGTAATACAGTGTGTGTGTGTGTGTGT